GCTCCCAGCGCTCAATTTCCATGATCAGGCTACGAGACGAGACAGCCTAGTCAGTGTCAGGAATTGGATTCAGCCAGGCTACAGTGATGAACTGACCCATGGGGCACGCGGTATGCAATGCTTGGCAGCCTGGGGGCACAACACCATGTCCTTCACAGCCTCTGGTCCTCCGCTGATAGCCCTAGTTGGTGCGTGTCGTCGTCGCCACCGCGACCACAAGGCACGACCGCGCAATCAGGGGCATGCAACACAGCAGCCTATGCCGCTTCCTCAGCCAACAGAAGAATAATATTCCAGATTTAGCATCGGTATTGGGAAAATAAGAACATTTCATACATGCATGATAGGAACAATTGAATTATACCATCGAAGATCCCATAATTATACTAAGCAAATAACATAAAATACACATAGGGGAACAATTTATTGGAACAATGCATGATATATGATGGAAGATGAGTGTCTGGATTTGAAATTGAGGCTAAAGTAGGTTTGGGGTCCTAGGCCCTGTTTGGATTCTCTCCTCTAAACTTTACATCTCTAAATTTTAGAGTTAAAGCTCCAGACAAGTGGTCTAAAGTTAGCTTTAAACTTTAGTCCATCTCACATTAGAGCTTTATAGACCTCAAAAGTGAGCTAAAATACTTTAAAGTTTTTAGAGATCTAAAGTCTAGAGAAGAGAAACCAAACAGACCCTACTATTTTGCTCTGCTGAACATTATAAGTTCTTCGAAGCGACCAATCATGGATGTGCCAGTGAACAGATAAAGATTGAGTTCGCCTCAATCTCGGTGAAGGTGACTTGGTCGGCTTTAAAATGCTCCTATAAATTGATTTCTCATGGGTACTTTTTTTTTGTATATAACCCAACAAAAACTACTATGATAGGCGAGGCGACTCCCTTTTTATACTTGTATAAAAAAAAAAAGGAAAGCTGAGTGTGCCTTCCGCTTCTGTAAACCAATGTTTGGGCCTTGAGCGTATGCCCATCCAGTGATCCATATCAGCTCACGGCCTAGAAGCTAAAGTCTTGGGCCGGAACAAGACGCTGGCAGTTGGCACATCAAAATAGCGTGTCGATTTGCATTTCTTACTCAATTTATATTGCTTTTGTTTCATGTCGCGTTCGCCCTCCTTATCTTGAAGTTCTGGCTGCATATCTAGGCCAACGAGAAAGATAGTCTTTTGTAGCAATTCGGTGTTCGTCTGACATAACTAGAGGAGCTATTGGCTTGCATAGTTCACGACGAAGACCTGCAGAGTGACGAGGGCACACCATGCCACGCGGTAAACAGCTCGCTGAAAAGAACACGTCAAGGAAGGAGTACAGTAAAATAACCACATTCCTTGGATTTCAAACTTGCCATTTCTTTTCTTTATTAAAAAAAGCGTCGCGCGGAACGATCTATGTGCTCGCTGGAAATGCTGGTGTCATGTGTGCTACAGCACTAACCGACAGCTGTTATTCACAAGTGCGCGTGGACGGCGACTACTGCATTGCATCTGCATGGTACGGGTGCCTGACAAAAGAGGAAGGAACTGAAGTAAACAATTGGCTGTCTGACGAGGATTACGTACGCTAATTTAATTAGCGGCACTGTCATGTCAAATCTATCGCGAGGAAACTATAAGCTGGTAACCGTAGCTAGCACGAGCAGGGCTCCGGCCGCTTCGATCATCACCCAGCTTTTACCCTGGAAGCAGTTGGGCTCCCCCAGCTTTTCGCCAAAAGGCAGGCCACCATTCAGGCACATGAGCTCCATCCAACTCGGCGGACGGGGAAGGGGAATTGACACCAAAAGGTGACCCGTCGAGACCTCTTCACCTAGCTAGCTTGTTGCCGTCGAGCTTGCATTGTGCGCCGTGGATGATGGCCATGATGGTGCCTGTGGTCCACGGCTCATATAAAGATGGTTTGGCCCACTCGGAGCTCCGAGATCAACACAGCTTTTTTGAGCCACGGCCCCGGCCCACCCACACACCATGCATCTTATTCTTATCTGCCCCAACGCGCACGAAAATCACTTGTGTGCTCACACATGCGTGCACACGACCTACAGTATAAGCTAAGCCATTAGCCATCTGAGTTGGCTAGAGATGGCCTCTAGATTAAAGCCGGACTCCCAAGATCTCTCTTGGAACTTGAAAGGGGGCCGGCCGGGCCGGCGAGCGAGGCCAGCTAGTTAGATCGACAGCTTCTTCACGTTTCCGGTACATGTCGTTGCAGGCACACGAGCTAAAAGCTAGGGGCAAGGAGCCAAACCCTACATATATTGGGAGGGTGTGGTATGGCTGTACAACTAATATAAAGGGAGCCTACTACACGGCTACACAACAGTTCAGTTCGATCGCTGCTCAGTCGTGTCCTCGTGTCGTGCTCTTATGTTTTTATCTCGTGGTTCGGTTTTATGCGGATCTCGATCCGTCTTTTCATGGGGTGCCCTGCTTCCCCTTTTATAGACGAAAGGAGAGCACGTGTTACATCGGAGAAAATGAGAAGAATCGCCGGGTCCTTCTTCCTCTTCATGCGGGTCCCGCCGACCCTATAGACGTCAACATGGACGGCTCCACGTCGTGGCCCCATTCGTCACTGATGCCATGCGCAGGCATCGTCTGCCGGTCATGGCGTTCTATTCCGTCCCGGTGGACGTCATGGTGAACTGACGCGCATGTCAGCGTTCGTACGAGGGTTAGGCAGAACAGCGCCGGAGCGCCCGTCGCTGTTCTTGATGTGAATACTCAGGTATGGCTATCATGGCCTCGGGTTACATCAAGTCATGCCCGTCTCTTCTCTGGTGTCAGAGTTTTGACCCAGGTCCATACGCCTGGACCTGGAGTGGTTGGCTGCGATATGGGTCCCCGTCGGGCGAGATGGAGCCCGCACCCAAGGGTCGGGCGAGACGGAGCCCGCGGCCTCGGGGTCGGGCGAGACGGAGCCCGTGACCTTGGACGAGACCCTCGTGGCCTCGGGGTCGGGCGAGACGGAAACTGCGTCCTTGGGGTCGGGCGAGACGAAGCCCGCGGCCTTGGGCGAGATCCCAGCGGCCTCGGGGTCGGGCGAGACAGAAAATACGTCCTTGGGGTCGGACGAGATGGAGCCCGGACCTAAGGGGTCGGGCAAGACATGTTAATACGTCTTGCTCTGTCCGGGGAAGTCAGCGTGGACGCTAACTCCCTTGCTTCGGGTATCCCTAATATCGATATCCGACAAGTACGTAGTACCATTTTCTAGTCGTCTACGTGTACCTCGCTGATTCGTTCGCGGGTGGAACAAACCAAGCTTCCCTCGGAGTTCAAAATAAGCCGCTTGTGCTGATTTGTATGGCTGTTGTACCATGACTGATAAGGCCCGAACAGAGCTTGAGACGTTTGATCGAGAGAAAGAAAGACGGAGGCAAACACATTGTACGTGCCCATCTTTACGTCAAATCCATATAAGGGACTCCATTGCTCCTGCAAGGAGGAACCTTTATACTTTGCCACTTTTTCCCCCAACTGAAAACTGAAAAGAGCATCAGCACTAGCTATATCTACTCCTCTGGAGTACTGTACATCTCTCTATCTACAGAGATCTAGGCTAGCCATCCAGCAACAGACAACCCTAAACCCTTGCGGAAATGAGATGAGATGAAATCATTATTAAAGGCAAATAAAGCGAAGCTCCTAACGCATCAACGCGATTATTATTGGTGGCCAAGGCAAGAGGATTTGGATGCAGAGATTAATTCATATACGCAGGCACGCACGCAGCATCGATCATGCATGCCAGCTCCATTAATTAAAGCGGAGAGCTGAGCCGGGCCCGGGCGAGGTTTATCCTTAATCCCCGGCCACAGCACCGCACGGCCTAAAGCCGGAGCTCTGGACGATCGACTCTGGTCTGGTCTGGTGGTAGTGGTGTTGTACTGGAGGGCGGATGCATGGGGCCTTGCAGGCAATCATTGGTCTACTCATTCATGCATGGTTGGATGGTCAGGACAACATGCACGCATTCGCAGGGCCACAGGCCAGCTGCTGCAGCTCTGCTCGCTGGCCCTCTCTCTCTCTCCTCTCCACTCCTGCATGCCCGTCTTGCAGTTGTAGCACAAAAGGGGAGGGAAATATGGAATGTAGGCTGCTGCACGGAATTCTAAAATTTTCTAGAGGAATTTATTACCAGGCCTGGTTTACATTGCAAGTTTTTTCACTCTCTCTCCATCACATCAAATCTTCGAACACATGCATGGAGTATTAAATGTAGATAAAAAAATAACTAATTACATAATTTGATTGTAAATTATGAAACGAATCTTTTGAGTCTAGTGAGACCATGATTGGACAATAATTATCAAATACAAACAAAAGTACTACAGTACCAAATACTGATTTCGTACCTCAATCTAAACGAGGCCAAGTCGGAGTGCACCGGTATCAAGGTTAGAGCTGGTGGTACTAGTACAGGTAGCAGAGTAGCACTGCCACTGCTCCACTTTCTAGAAGAAATGGAGGAAAAAGAAGAATGGATCGGAGCTCCTATCCTTCCCCTATTTGTGAAGAAAAGGACGGGAGAAGAAGATCCATGTATTCATGCGATTTACAGTACACCTCTTTCTTTTGCTAGATATTTACTCGCATACACAATCTATCAACAACACAGGATTGATAATATACACTTCATTACCTAAACCATCAATTGCTGTAAAGAGAAGGGACATGGCAAAAATTGTATCTTTTTCTTCACAGGGACATGATTCATCTTGTAAAGAAGGGGAGCAGGGGAGATGAGGATGATGGTGGTGGTGGTGGTGCTCTAAAGGAGACGGGCCGGAGAAAAGATGGCAAAAAATAAAGCCCAAATGGCAGCAAGGAGGCAAAGCAGGAGGAATTAACAAAAGATAAAGCCAGGAAACTACCACTACTACTACTCCAGTTCGTAGCAATGAAAACCCAAAAGAAATGGAGAGAAAGGGAAGGTGGGAGGAGAAAAAAAAAGAAACAAAGACACCTTGCTGCTTGCTTGATTACAAGTCATCCTCGGTGATGCTCTCCAGGTGCGGCCGCCACACGGCGACGCGCCCCCGCCGCCGATCCCTCGCCGTGGAGGCCTTCTCCTTCATGATCTCCGACAGGTACCTCTCGTTGGCCAGCAGCCGCTCCTTCTCGTCCTCCGCCGGCGCCGGCCCGGCCGCGGCCCCGCTGCTGCAGGCGGCGGCCGCTCCGTCCCGTGCGGCGGTGTGGTCTTTCCTCCGGCGCCGCCTCCTCGCCACCGAAGCAGCCGCCGCCGCGGTTTGGCCGGCGGGCGTCGCCGGCGCCGGCGGCTGTAGCTTCGCGGCGGGCTTCTCGGGCGCGGGCGCCGCGGCCGGGGTGGTGGCCATGACCGGCATGAGGAAGTAGATCTTGCCCCTCTGCAGCTCGGCATTGGGCGGCAGGATGACGGGCTTCTGCACGACGATGCCGCCGCCGCCGCCGTCGGCCGGGCACGTGGACGGCGGCTTCCGGAGGACGTGCTTGGGGTACGCCTTCATGATCTCCCCGGCCAGCACGGGCCCCCCGCTGATCTCCTCCACGCGTCCGTTGGAGTGCACGATCCGCACCACGTCCAGCGCCCCGCACGGCAGGATGCACGCGATGCAGCACTTGATGGTCTCCATCGATATAATCCCTGTGGCCGCGCGCGGACCTCTCACCGTCACCGATCCCTCTCGCCTTCTGCTCGTAGCCCGGCCGGCGCAGCTGCTGCGCCTGTGCTAGTTCATATATGGCGGCAGACCGGCAGTGAGCACGGAGAGGTCTCGATCGAGGAGGAAGAAGGAAGGAGCTTGGCGATGCGCGCCGCGCGCACGAGCTAAGCTTTGGTTCGCGAGGCTCAGCTGGCTGGCCTTTGTATATGTTGGGTCCTTTTGGTGCGGGTACGTTTAGAGAAAAATACTGTTTCATAACTTAAAAAGCAGCTCCGAACAGCGGCGAGGAAACCGGTTCTCGTTCGATCGGTCGGCAGCTGCCGCTGCTCAATGCTGTAGCCTGTAGCAGCAGCAATACTACTACTGCCAGTCCACTCTAGAGTCAGCAGTGGCAGCAGCCCCAGGTCCTCCTCCCCTCTTTATTCTACTATTTCCACTGCTGGCTCTCTTGTTGGCTCCATTCAAACGTGGGATGGATGGGAAGATGTATGTACATAAAGAAATGGTGCCTGTGCGGAAAAGAACCGAGTAGGAACTGTGAAAAAATCAATCCGTCTATCGCTGCTGTTCACTCTGTTTTGCCTTTTCATGCATCTTTCCTCCGATCCTCCTTTGCGCCGCACGCTGATCGTGGTGGTGTATGGTCTCTGGTGTGGAAGTGGAACCCCCTCCCTGGCCCAAATCATTGCCACTCCACCTCGGCCTTGTACTTGCGTCACGCAGGGGGCTGGCTCTCTCTCGTGGGCGCATCACGCATGTGCTTGGGGTGAACCGGAGAAGAGGATGGCCTGCCTGTAAAACCTGGGCCTGCACGTTGACGTGGAACCAACATGGAACGCACAGCACGTACTGTGCGAGAGAGGCAGAGGCCGAGACGGGGGAACAGTGCAGGGAGCAGCAGTAATATAGGTGCCTGTACGTGGTGCCATATGAATGTGCTGGTTCGGGCATGGACCGCGCGCGCGGAGGCGCAAGGCGCAAGCAAGCATATCGGCTCGTCGTTTCGTCGCTGCTGCGATGAATGAAGGCCAGTTGATGGTGTTCCTGCTCCGGCGACCTGCATGGGGATGGACAAGTACGCGCGCCGCTGGTTTGGGGGACAATTAGTTAGCATCGTATCGCCCAAGAAATGATTGTGCTCGCGAGAGTCTGAACCCAGATTATGCACGTACGTCTTGGGTGATTCTACAGATACAGCTTGCCAACGATCGTTACTCAAGGGCGGAGGCTAAAGCAGAGGGACCGGCGGCCGTGACAGGCTCATCACAGACTCGACAAGTTAGGGCGTGTTTGGCCATGCTCCCGCCGGCTCTGGCCCCCACACTGTAGCGCAACTGTAGCGCGCAGGAGCGGTAGGCGGAGGAGAAAAAACGAGCTTCTTCGGCTCCGGCGCTGTCGGTGAGAGAGGAAAGGAGGAGAGAGAAAAACGACTCCGGTGAACAATGTCGCTACAGGAGATGAACATGGGAGAGAATAAAAAAAAGCGGAGCCGCTCGAAGCCCGGCCAAACGGACTCTTCCATGCTTGATTCTCAAAGCAAAGCGAACCACGGTATGTTATACCTAGTACAGTATATATAGTATGCTCGTATTTTGTCATCCGTATGGAGAAATCGTGTTATATACATGCATCGCTGTTCCCAAAAGCGAGAAAAGTACTAGTATAATAATAATAAGCAATAAAGAAAGATCCATGGCATTATCAATACATAGGCTCTGTTCGCTTGTCTTATAATCTGTTTTTTTATCTTATTTTTTCAGCCGGAACAATATTTTTCTCTCACAACAACAAATCAGCTGGAATAGTATTTTGGCTTGTTATTTTCAGCGAAGTGAACAGGACCATAATATATATATATATATATATATATATATATATATATTATAGCAATCATATGATATGATATTCGGATACCGTCCAATACGTCGGTGCAGCGTTAGGTTGTCTCCAATAGGATACCTATTGAGATATCTAAATCTAAAATGGGTCTCCAGCAGGATACCCAATAGAGTACCTATATACAAAACTCATTTCGGGCGTTAGGAGAGACATAACCCAAATCTGAGTATTTTTTCTCTTGAAAACCTATTTGCAGAAAGGGTTGTCTTTTAGATCGTGTTGTTGGAGAAGACTAAAAATAAATATTGAACCTTTTATCTGTAATGCTTCCCAAATAACAAATAGATCTTGTATTTTGGATCAAAGGTCGTCGGAGACGGTCTTAGAAAGGGCAGAAAGGGCTTGGGGGCCATAGGAGAGAGAGCGCGAGGCCGCACGCAGCGCCATCAGAGTGACAGCGTCCATATACGTCCTAACGTCCTGCTGCTAGGCCCCAGCAGGAGGCGGCGGTCGTCGTCCATCTGCCGCTGCTTGTGGACAACGCTCTGGGTTAGCGCGAGGCCGACCGGTCTGGGCGTCCGGCACCGGCAGAGCAGAGAGAGCGCAGCACGGAATGTGACGGCGAAACCGCTGCGGAGGGGAACGAAACGGAGCGAGATTCTCTGCGCGTGCGGAGGCTCCCGTGCCACGGATGGACACGTTCCTCTGCTTGCTTTGCTTTGCTTTGCGGGGACGGACCGACCCAAACTCTTGTACGGCCCCACAAGGCAGGCTGATTCCCGACTTGATAATTCGCACATGAGATGAGACCGTAGTACCGTACTCTAGTAAACTTTGGTTGTTTTTTGCACGTCCAGGCTGTTCAGAATTTAGGGCGACTTTGACACCTGTTCTAGGACACGGATTAGAAAACGTGTGGCTAAGCTAGCTCGATCCTCGTGCTGCCCTGCGCTAGGTCGGAGGATGTCGAGCCACACCAGATGCTGTGGGGCGGTAGTAATTTGCAGAGGAGCGGCCTCCCGTTCTTGTCACGTGGCTTTTTTTTTTTTTTGCCAAGCCAGTGCTCGAGCTGACGGGCCCCGTATATATAGTAGTTACCCGAGAGACACAGGGTGTTTAAATCCTGTGCGTGCGTGTCGAGCGCTGAGAGGGGACGGTGTGCAGGACACGAGCCGCGCTTTTGGCGTGGTCGGCAGGCAAGACAAGCCCCGCGCGGCGGGCGAGGCGCGTCCGCGCGTGGATCCCTACCTTCTTCTCTCTCTGTGTCGGGACTCGCGAACGTGCAGCTGCTCCTGCTCCGCTGCTGCCGGCGCAGGTGTGTTTAAATCCTGTGCGTGCGTTTCGAGCGCTGAGAGAGGGACGGTTCAAAGGACACGAGCCGCGCTTTTTTCTCTCATAAAAAAAAGCCGCGCGCGGCTAAGGAGGCGCGTGGATCCTCCTCTACAACCAACTCTCAGAAAAAATATTATTCGTTAATCGAAAACAAACAAAAGAAAATAAGCCAAATAAATCAAAACGAACGTGGCATTAATCTGCGAGTAGGCTTCAGTCTTCAGCACTCAGCAGTAGGCGCGTGACGGCCGGATCGGATTAGATCGCACACTGGCACTGCGCGCGCGCTGCATGCCTATGCGCACTTGGGCTCCTGGCATGTGCTTGAACAGAGCATGTCGATTCTGCTCGCAAATCAGAACACGCCGACGGGCGGCGACCTGATCAAACGTTAGTCACATCCGCGGCATGGGAGAGTCTGCCGAACGGCACGGGATCATCAGGTGGTGGGTGTCAGCGCACACGGCGCGCGCGGCTACAGCGAACTGGCTCGTCCTGATAGATATTCCGCAAGAATCCGCTTCAGAAATCAGAACGCGCGCGCACTGCGCAAACTTCAGGCACGCATGGATCGACAGGCCGCCAATGATTCGGCGCTCGATCGATCTGATTCCGGCTGTGCCGTCGCTGCCACCGGAAAGCTGGAGACCCATGACCGGTTGCATCCGCCCAGCCGATCTCACCCAGTAGTATCGCCGATGATATGATGCACACGGCTACACGCATACATACGTAAATAACACGAACCATTCCAAAAAAATACGTCGTGCACGGTATTTTAGCGGAAAAAAACAGGCTCCAACCGAGTAGGCAAACACAACACCCATTTTGGATCCGAGGCGACGCGGAAGGAAAAAAAATGTCCTCCCTCGTCTCTTTGCGTCTCCGCTAGGCCCACCACCACGAGGGAAGGGGACGACCGGAGCCAGCTCAACACGGCGGCCGCGCGGCAGCTCCGCCTCGCCGCGGCCAAGACGAGGGGCTCCGATCGCCGCCGCCTCGAGATCCGCGTCGCGCCCCCCGCCGCCGCCGGATCTAGGGAGGACCACCATGGCCGTGTGCCTTGCCGCTCGCAGCGCGGTAGAGATGAGGGAGGCGCTTTGCAACACCGTCGCCATGTCCACCGCCTTGGTGGGGCGGGAGGATCTGTATTGCCGGTGGGGAGAGGAGCCGCCGCCTTGGCTACTGCCGGATCTGGACCCTCCCCCGCTGGTGGTGATGAGCGAGCGCCGCGTGGGTGGAGGTGCTCATTGGCGCTGCCCGGCCTTCGCCGGATCTCGCGAGGAGGGAACGCCAGAGGAGGGAGGCGCTCGCAGCGCCAAAGCGGCGGCAGCAATGTGAGCTCCCACGCCCGCCTAAGGGAAAGAGGAACTCCGGCTGGGTGGGGACAGGTCCATGGCGAAGAGCTGGGCACGGCGAGGGGTTGCGCGAGGGCGGCGCCAGCGCACCGTGGGCGCGGGACCGGCCGGCAGTGTGTCATGAGTTCGCTGCTGGAGGGCACGCCTTGAAGCGATGGAAGGACGGAGTAAGGCGTTCTGCGGAGATCGAGCGGGTCGGCCGCGGCGCGTAGGGCAGGCTTGAGCGGCGGTAGCGGCAAGCGGCACAGGGGGGAGGGGGTGCGAAGATCGGGGCGGCCGTGGACGCCGTGGCGGCGTCGGTGGATCTGGCCGTAGAAAGCTTCGAGGTCGCGCTGTTGGAGATTGAAAGTTTTAGGTGTGCGACCTTTTTATTGTACGTGACATAAATCATAGTATGTGTCTCTAAGGCGCCAATTATGGGTTCCAACTTCCATCGGATCG